TTGCCATCCATATGTCTTTTCTGGTGAAGTATGCAGATCTTTTGCCCATTTCTAAATTGGGTGGTTTGCTTTTTTATTATTGAGTTTTAAGAGTCCTTTATATATTTTGGACACCAGACATTCCATCAGATCTGTACTTTGCCAATGTTTTTTCCCCAGTGTATCACTTGTTTATTCATTTTCTTAACAATGTCTTTCACAGAGCAGAAGTTTTTAATTTTATTGAAGTCCAGCTTATCAATTTTTTCCTTCCTGGATTGTGCTTTTGACATTGTATCTGAGAAGTCATCGCTAAACCCACAGTCACCCAGATTTTCCCCTGTGTTATCCTCTAGGAGTCTTACAGTTTTGCACCTTACATTCAGGGGTAAGATCCATTTTGTGAAAGGTGTAAAATCTGTGTCTAGATTGATTTATTTTTCACATGTGGATATCTAGTCATTCTAGCACCATTTGTTGAAAAGACTATCCTTTCCCTGTTAAATTGCCTTTGCGCCTTTCTCAAAGATCAGTCTATTTCCGAGCTCTGTAGTCTTTTCTGGTGACCTATTTGTCTGTTTTTTTCTTCCTTCACAAATTTCCATACTCTTTGGTTACTGTAGCTTTATAATTAGTGCTGAAGTCGGCAGTGTCAGTTCTGTGGGCATTTTTCTGATCTTTACCATGAGAACCTGGTTGGGCTCCAGGTGGTAAAACTTAGAAAAGTGTGAGATGCCCCCTAAATCTGGGCCCCAAGGAGTTTTGAATGCTCAAGCCAGGCCACCCTCAGCGTCTAGTCATCTGTCAGTATCATTTAAGTGCTCCTCCCAGTGGCTGGCTTCAGCAGCTTCTGTTCCCTGTGTTTGCCTGTCTTTCTTTTCAGCAAGGCAATTTGTCCTGTGACCTCTCCTCTAGTCCCTCTAATAAGGTTTGATAATTTTCAGTTTGTTCAGCTTCTTTCTTGTTATGAGGACAAGTGGTGACCTCCTGGCTCCTTACAAGTTGGAGTTGAAACCAGAAATCTCATTAAACAAGTTACTTGTAATAAAGTCACTAATCACAAATGTAGAACTGAATAATTCCATTAGATATGTAGAATTTTGTAGCCATCACCTCAGTCCCCTCTTAGAATATAGACTACATTTCTTTTTTCCCCAGATTCCCCAGAGGCTCTTTGCAATCATTTTCCAATCCCTGGTCATCGTGACGGAGCCTGAACAAAATTTAAATTTGGGAAACAGACAACATTACATTTCAGCTTTTATTAGATTGGGATTTTATCTAATGGACCATTGTCTTACTCCTGTGTAAACTAGAGGAGATATTTTATTCTAAGGACTTTCTTTGGGGGAACTTAGTAGTAGTCCTGTTTATTGCTCTCCTTGAATTGGTTCGTCTATGCTGGTAACAGATAGTTACTATCAAACCTTGTCTGGTGATCACAAGTGAAAGAGCTAAAAAAAAAAAATCCATCTATTAGAAATGTAGATGATGAATTTTCAGATAATGTTATGCGGAGTTACGTTTGTTTGTTTTTGAGCCGGAGTTTCGCTCTTGTTGTGCAGGCTGTAGTGCAATGGTGAGATCTCGGCTCACTGCAACCTCTGCCTCCTGGTTTCCAGCAATTCTCCTGCCTCAGCCTCCTGAGTACCTGGGATTACAGGCATGCACCACCATGCCAACCTAATTTTGTATTTTTAGTAGAGACAGGGTTTCTCCGTGTAGGTCAGGCTGGTCTTGAACTCCCAACTTCAGGTGATCTGCCCTTCTCAGCCTCCCAAAGTGTTGAGATTACAGGCATGAGCCACCATGCTGGAGTGCTATGTGCAATCTCAGCTCACTGCAACTTCTCCCTCTAGGGTTCAAGTGATTCTTGTGCCTCAGCCTTTCGAGTGGCTGGGATTACAGGCATGTACCACCATGCCAGGCTAATTTTGTATTTTTAGTGGACAAAGAGTTTCTTTATGTTGGTCAGGCTGGTCTCGAACTACCAACCCCAGGTGATCCACGCAGCTTAGCCTCCCAAAGTACTGGGATTACATGCATGAGCCACCACACCTGGCTGGGAATTAAATATTTTACCATCTTTTTTTTTCTTTCAGAAATTGGATTGGTAACATTGAAGAGACACTTCTCACCTGCCTGAAATGCCCTTCATTATCTTTTTCAAGTTGCAAGGGTTCTGGAACAGCCCTTACAGTGCTCCCGTAAAGGTAAGTATAATATTTTACTGTAGCCCCTTGCTTTTTTTTTCTTTTTTGTGCCAATAGGGATTAGCATACATGTATGTGAAAATATAAACAGAGTATAGATAGGAACCTGTAACTAGTTTTCTGTTGCTACCTATTAGTGCATTATAACAAGTTAGTGGTTTGAAACTACAGGATCAGGAATGATTGGGTTCTCTGATCAGGGTCTTAGGAGGCTGAAATCCAGTTATGGGCTGCCTGTGTTTTTCATCTAGAGCTCAGGCTACTCTTCCAAGTTCACTACAGATGTATTGGCAGAATTCCTCTTGTGGGTGGAGGACTGAGATCCCTTTTTTAGTGCTCCTGGCTCTCAGCCAGGAGACACCCTGATTCGAGAGGCCACCTGCATTCTTTCTCACCTTTCCCATCTTCCAACCAACAACAGCCCATGGAATTCTTCTCCAGCTCCCATCGTCTCTCTGACTATGTCTTCTACCCACTAGAGAAATCTCTGACACTTAGGGAGTGTTGTGATTCTATCCAGTGCACTCAGGAGAACTCAGCCTTTGTATTAGTCTGTTCTTGCAGTGTTATAATGAATGACCTGGGTGATTTATAAAGAAAGAAGTTTAATCAGATCACGGTTCTGTGGGCTGTGCAGGCTTCTGCTTCTGGGGAGGCCTCAGGAAGCTTACAATCATGGTGGAAGTGGAAACAGGCATGGTCTTCACATGGCTGGCAGGGACCTGGGGGGAGGGGAGGGGGAGAGAGAGAGAGAGAGGGAGAGAGAGAGGGAGAGGGAAAGGGAAAGAGAGAGCAGCGGGGGAAAGTGCTACATACTTTTAAACAGCTAGATCTCATGGAAACTCTGTCATGCGACGGCACTTAAGGGATGGTGCTAAGCCATTAGAAACCTTCCCCATGATCCAATAACCTCCCACCAGGCCCCACCTCTAACACTCAGGATAGTAATTCAACATGAGATTTGGGTGGGGACACAGAGCCAAACCATATCACTCTTTAAAGTCATATGATTGCCATGTAACAACATAATCACAGAAATGTCTCATTAGCTTAACAAGTTCCAGAGATAAGGGTACAGCAGGTTTGGAGACCATTTTGGAAATTCCACTTATCACAGTTCAACTTCTGGTCCCCAGACATTCACGTTCCTCACAGATGCAAAATACATTCACCCTCCCACCTAAGGTTTTCAAGTTTCGTGTCATGAATGAATTAGTTCAAAGTGAAAAATATCATGTAGCTCTAATCTGATCGAAAGTTTAAAATCTCATTTAAATCATCTACACCAAGTGTGAATGAGGCTTCTGAGGGTTTCCATTAAGTACAGATTATTTTTTGTTTTTGTTTTTGAGAGCGAGTCTTGGTCTGTGACCCATGCTGGAGTGCAGTGGTGTGATCTTGGGTTACTGCAACTTCTGCCTCCTGGGTTCATGCGATTCTCCTGCCTCAGCCTCTTGAGCAGCTGAGATTACAGACATGCACCACTGGATTCAGCTAATTGTTTTGTATTTTTAGTAGAGATGGAGTTTTGCCCTATTGGCCAGGCTAGTCTGAAACTCCTGACCTCAGGGGGTCCATCCCCCTAGGCCTCTGAAAGTGCTAGGATTTCAGGCATGAGTCACCGTGCCTGGCCCAAGTACAGATCCTTGATATAATTCCCTTACCTCTGTTGACCTGTGAAACTGAACAAACAGCTTATCTGTCCTCAAAGTGCACTGGTGGGACAGTCACAGAATAACGATGCTAGTGATTCTTGTTCAAAAAGAGGGAAAGTGGAGGGAACAAAGTCACTGATCCAAAACGATTTTGAAATGGGGCCGAGCAAAGTCCAGCAGGAATTTCTTGATTAGGCTCTTCAGCCTGGAACTAACCCTCTGTGACAGGGGGCTTTGCCTCTGGGCTCTGCATTTTTTTCTATTGTTACTGAAAACATTTTATTTTTCTTCTTCCCCTACTCTTTTGGTTATTCCCTTTTTTTCCTCATGGCAGCATCTTCCACTTAATTTTTTTTGCATCATCCCCAGCAGAATTGGTCAGATGTTGCCCATGTTACGGTCCTGACCATCTCCACGAGGGCCTGTCCTTGTGAGCCCGTGCTCCTCTTCACTGTCCTGACCTCTCTGAGTCATGATTGCTTTCAGCTGACCTGGCTGGCTTAGGAGAAAACCTAAGACTATAGAGGCCCAGAACCAATCTCTGCCCTTTCTATCTCCAGGAGAGGAAGAAAATAACAGGGATCTTCATGGAGAAATGACCCAGGTGAGGGCCTGGACTCTAGCAGAAGAAAGTTTCTGAAGAAGAACGGAGGAGCTGAGAGCCCAGGCCGGGAAAGCAGGGTTGTGTGAAACGCTATTTAATCCTGTGTGCTCCCTGCCCCAGTCTACCAGCCAGTGAATGACAGCTAAGTATAAATGCCAGGACTATAGAACTGTGATAAAGCGTTTGTCCAAGGAAAGGGCCTTTTACTCTTTTTGTTTTCACAATGGCAATTGCTGTTTTTCATTTAAAGTTTATGAAAGGCAGCAGCGAGCTTCTGGAGGGTGAGTTACCTGCTCTGCACAGGGAGGCTGAGGCCAAGGCTTGTGGTGAATCTGCTGCCGCCAAGTGGTGAGGGCAGGAGCCTGGGAGAGTCTCAGTCTTTCTGGGCTCATGTTCCTCATCGGTAAGATAGGGGCTTATTGTACCTCTCTGAGGTCCCTTCCTGCTCTGTTTTCTCTGAGTCTATGAGGAATTGAGATGGTTTTCAGTGCTGCCTCGGACCTTCAGCTGAGACCTGACTGTGTGTCTCCTGCAGGAGCCCGAGCTGAGTCTACGTGCTGGAATCCCAGAGCTGAGGGAACAGGTGGAAGAAAGAAAGTCAGCAGGTTTAGGGGATGAGAATAATCCACAAAGGACAAGGCATTGGTAAATGAAAACCAAAGAAGGGGAGAATAAGGACAAACTGGGACAGAAGCCTGAGGGGAAATGGGTAATACCTATGATCATTTAAATTCTCAAGGAGCAGCATGAGCTGAGCAGTGAGGACTGAGAGAGAAATTTACTCCACAGGAATCTCCTGCCTCTGTCCAGGGAGAGCCATAGGGTAGATCACAGCTGGTTTATAGTGAAGGGCAGCTTCAACTCCAAGAGGGGGATGATATGACTATGGGCCCTCACCCCAGACATAGGAACCTCGACCTCAGGGCTGCCATAGCAATGGATACTCTTGAGGTCAGTGTGGGTTAGAGGGAATAACCGTGCTTGGAGAAGGGTGGAGATGTCCATTCTTACATCGAAAAGCTCTGCCCTAGGTCAGGTGCCACAGTAAGTGTCCCTTGCTTGCATATGAAGCAGTGATACTTATACTATTCTTCTGCACCTTCAGTGTAGGGTGCGTTTGGAGCCCAATGTAGGGCTGAGTGCCCCACCGGGTCGTGGGGTGAGCCTTATGCTGTGCTGAGGCTCAGGATCTGAGAAATAAAGAGACAGGACACAGAAGTACAAAGAAAATGCAGCTGGGCTGAGGGGGGCCACGCCACCTATAAGCCAAGGCTGGTGAATGAGCCCCGAATGTCCAGAAGCATGAGTATTTATTGTGTATAGGTTAGGGGGCAGGGCAGTGAGTGAAATCATCTTTAAGGATAGTGATAGGGTTGTGAGCAATAAAACATGGGGTCCACCCCATTAGGTCACCTAGGCCAGAAGGTGGACAGCGCACAGCAAGGGGCCCATTCCCATGAAGGCAAGGGCCGTGTGCAGTAAGGGGTCCACCCCCATTAAGTCACCGAGGCTTGAAGGTGGGCCGTGTGCAGTGAAGAGGGTGCAGTGTGTGATACTTCTATCTATGGGAAAACTTCTAAGAAGATTTATAGGAGGATGCCTTAAGTCACAGAGCAGTGACTGAGCTGTCAAGGTTACCGCCACCTTCTGGCAGCTTCCAATGAATTCTATGGGAAGATGATTTTCAAGCAGCACAGTAGCAAGAGCTGATAAAGTTTACAGTCACCAAGGTGGATTGCCGGTCTGAGGGCAGCCTTCCACAAGAACTGGAGCAAGGTCCTACAACTCCTTTATCAGGAGGAGTGGCTCTCACCCTAAGCCTAACATACGGCGGGTATCTTTACGATACTGAACGCTGCCGCCTGGGCCATGGATTCTTGTCCTGGTATAACTGTTTTCCCTTAATTCATGCTCTGCACTGTATCTGCTCCAGGCATTCCACAGATTATAAGCTGCTTATTCCTTAATTCATGCTCTGTACTGTGTCCACTCTAGGCATTCCTCCGATTATGAATTAAGGTATAATTATAGGTATATATGTAGGGAAATGTTCTTTAGGCACTCATACTATCAACTATTATATGATTATATATAGAGGATTATATAAAGGGAGACTTCCAGCCCTATTTTGATAAACTAATATATGATTATGTAAAGGATTATATAAAAGGAAATAGCTGAGTAGTAACACTATAAAGTGAGACATTCCTCAAGCCCTAACTGTGCCCCGGGTTCTGCTTAGCTCTCAGTGCCTATATGGGGGGTTACCCACATTCAGTTGAGGGAAGCTTCTCATAAACATTTATTGAGTATTTAATTTTCTTTATACTGTGCTAAGCCCTTGGAATTCAGGTATTTAATGTCTGTAAAGAAACTCAAGCCAGTGAGTGGAAGAACATAAGCAGATCATTTCAACAAGATACGGTAGTTCTACCCAACTGAGGTGTTGTGGCAGCCCGGAGGGTGGGAGGGTATGTCAAAGGACATTGCTCCTAATGACAGGGGGAAGCATAAGAGAACATTTTCAGATTGGCCGGGCATGGTGGCTGACGCCTATAATCCCAGCACTTTGGGAGGCCAAGGCAGGTGGATCACAAGGTCAAGAGATTGAGACTATCCTGGTCAACATGGTGAAACCCCAACTCTACTGAAAATACAAAAGAAAATAGCTTGGCATGGTGGTGCACACCTGTAGTCCCAGCTACTCGGTAGGCTGATGCAGGAGAATTGCTTGAACGCAGGAGATGGAGGTTGCAGTGAGCTGAGATTGTGCCATTGCACTCCAGCCTGGGTAGCAAGAGTGAAACCCCATCTCAAAAGAAAAAAAAAAAACATTTTCAGAACAGACTAGTCTTCCTTCAAGCTCCCACAGGAGAGGATCCTGGGGCAGGGATGGTGTAGGGCAGGCGCCTCTCTAGGGAAGGGGATTTGCAGCATTCTGAGAGAAAGAGCATCCCTTACAAGACACTGGGGACAGAAATGTAGGTGAAAGGGTTGGAGGTTTCTAATCAATTTTATTTAGTCATAGATGTACACTGCTGAGAGGTCCCTCTGTGCTGGGCCCTTAGCTAAGAACCATGACCACAGAGGTGAGTAAAATAGGATCCCAACCTTCACACAATTCTCAGTCTAGTGACTGGTGATTCATGAGAAGTGTAGTGATGGTGGGTTCATTGAAACCAGTGGCCGATGCCACATGAGATGACCTCAGTGGATGGCCTGGGCCAGTGACCCTGGACTTCAGCCATATTTCAGCATCTTGAGGTACAGTACACCCATGCCTCTGCTCCATGTTGAGTCAAAGCAGTTAACACAGCGAAGGTATTCAGAGGACACTGGTGATATCAGTAGCTATTGAGTGTTTCCAGCTGGGGAAACAAAGAAGTAAATTTAATAAGTCTTCTAAATTTGTGCTTGCCATAATGATAAATAACTTGATCTTCATAATGAATTATGTCCTGGCAAGTTAATTATAACTTGACATAATGAGAAATAACTTTATACTGAGTACAGCTGACACACAAGCCCTTGAGGACACATGCCTGAGAATTCTGATGAAGATATGATGTCCAAATATATGCACAGTTGGACCTACAGTCCAGCTTTGAAACAGTGGAAGACCCAGTTTCAAATTCAAGGTTGCTTTGAGTAGAAATTCACTTTACCTCTCTTTGCATGGCAATGGGGCCAATTTTCCCTATGCTGCCCCTTACAAGATAAGGAATCATACTGGTAAGATTTCAGACTTAGCAGACATGGGTAAGTAAGGAAGTCTTACAAATCTCTTCTACCCACCTAGCAAGAAACCAGAAATTTAGCAAGTTCATTCACATTCAGGACAGTTGTGTGCACTAGATCACAGACCCTGAGACATGAAGAACAGATCCCCTAACAAGGGACAATATTTCTTCCAGTCCTAGGACATTACTGCCAACGTCAGGGGAGTGGGAACACAGCTGCCCGCTTTACAGTATGGGTTACTATTGTCCCTGGAATGTGTCTGATGTCCTGAGACCTGTACCCGTTTCAGGGAGCCTTGGGAGGAGCCTGAATCACAGATGGAATTGGACGGTGCATGGAGATGGTTGAGCAGGATGAGGGTAAGTGCAGGGGCATGGCCAGGTCATACTGGGAGACAATGAGCGGCACTGATGGGGACAGACAAAGAGAAAGTCAACAGTTTGTGCTTCAGCATCAGAAACTCAAACCAATAACGGATTTGCTTTTATAAGTAATAAGTATTTTCCTATTTACATGAAAATTTAATCTCCAAAGAGAAATTATAAAAATATTAAGTCCAGGGCATAAAACCTAAACCGTAGCTCATATTTATTCTTTCTAAATGGAGCTAGCAGTAAAATCTTCTTCATAAAACATATATTGTGGTTATAAGAAGGCAAAAGTCGGCCAGGTGTGGTGGCTTGCACCTGTAGTCCCAGCACTTTGGGAGGCCAAAACGAGTGGATCACAACGTCAAGATATCAAGACCATCTTGGCCAACATGGTGAAACCTTGTCTCTGCTAAAAACACAAAAACTAGCTGGGCTTAGTGGTATGTGCCTATTGTTCCAGCTAGTCTGGAGACTGAGGCGAGAGAATCACTTGATCCCAGGAGGCAGAGGTTGCAGTGAACTGAGATTGTGCCACTGCATTTCAGTCGGGTGACAGAGGAGGACTCTGTCTCAAAAAAA